AGAGGTGCAAACCGCCAAGATCCCAGAGCCACAGGGCACAGCAGTCCCGGAGCCACAGCCGGCACCAGCAGCGCCACCAAAGGTGCAAACAGCCAAGGCACCAGAGCCACAAACGGCACCAGCACCAGCAGAGGTCCCAACAGCCAAGGCACCAGAGCCACAGGCACCAGCAGCACCAGCAGAGGTGCAAACGGCCAAGGCCACAGAGCCACAGGCGGCACCAGCGCCAGCAGAGGTGCACACAGCCCAGGCCCCAGAGCCACAGGTGGCACCAGCACCAGCAGAGGTGCACACAGCCAAGGCCCCAGAGCCACAGGCAGCACCAGCGCCAGCAGAGGTGCACACAGCCAAGGCCCCAGAGCCACAGGCACCAGCAGCACCAGCAGAGGTGCTAACGGCCAAGGTCCCAGAGCCACAGGTAGCACCAGCACCAGCACAAACAGGTAAGGTCCCAGAGCCACAGGTGGCACCAGCACCAGCAGAGGCGCAAACAGGTAAGGTCCCAGAGCCACAGGTGGAACCAGCACCAGCAGAGGTGCCAACAGCCAAGGCACCAGAGCCACAGGCGGCACCAGCACCAGCAGAGGTGCCAACAGCCAAGGCACCAGAGCCACAGGCACCAGCAGCACCAGCAGAGGTGCCAACAGCCAAGGCACCAGAGCCACAAGCGGCACCAGCACCAGCAGAGGTGCACACAGCCCAGGCCCCAGAGCCACAGGTCACACCAGCGCCAGCAGAGGTGCCAACAGCCAAGGCACCAGAGCCACAGGCACCAGCAGCACGAGCAGAGGTGCAAACTGCCAAGATCCCAGAGCCAGTCCCGGAGCCGCCACAGCCGGCACCAGCAGCACCAGCAAAGGTGCACATGGCCAAGGCACCAGAGCCACAGGCGCCAGCAGCACCAGCAGAGGTGCAAACTGCCAAGATCCCAGAGCCAGTCCCGGAGCCGCCACAGCCGGCACCAGCAGCACCAGCAAAGGTGCAAATGGCCAAGGCCCCAGAGCCACAGGCGGCACCAGCACCAGCAGAGGTGCCAACAGCCAAGGCACCAGAGCCACAGGTGGCACCAGCACCAGCAGAGGTGCAAACCGCCAAGATCCCAGAGCCACAGGCCACAGCAGTGCCGGAGCCGGCACCGGCACCAGCAGGTGTCCCTCAAGCTCTCAAACCGGCAAAACCGGCAGAGCCTCCATACCAGAAGACAGGTGCATCCACAATGCCACCACCTTCCCAGCCTTTGCGAGAAGCAAAGGAGCAGGTTGCCAAGGATGGTGAGAATGGCCAGGCAGGCGACCAAACAGAAGAGGAGAGGCTCTCTGAGAAGGAGAGAAAGCGTAAAGCCAAACGGGCTGAGTACATGCGATTTTGGCGCTCTGTCTTTGAATGTAGCTTGACCTCGTTAAACCAGGACTTTGGACTTGCAGGATCTTCAAACTTGCAGGTTCTGTCATGTTGCTTGGGATTCTTGATATTAAAGCTCCCCTGGTCAAGATTGGACATATAGCCCTGTGTTAGTTAATCTCTTGTTTGAACAGGAGCTAAAGCCCCGACCTGGGTGGAACTAGAATTCCAAGAGCCATCCTCCATGTCCCTCCGGATGGCCCTCCGGTTAAGCCGAGGATCAACTGTTTGATGTTTTGCTTTAAGGGCCCCCCTACCAGCGTTTGTATTCTGCTGGTAGGGGGGCCCTTTCTTGCCACCATCTGATCCTGGGCACGGACTCTCCCGGCCGAGGCAAGACAGCACCACCATTGGTGAAAAAACTGGGGAAGAGGTGTTCAGCGAATGGATGCCTGAGCCCTTTGTTCGAGGAGTGGCTCATGTCAGGGCAGAATTGGAAGAACTCCAAAATGGTGACCTCCTTGTCCCAGAAGCAGTATGAGGCTTACACCGGCAAAAGGAGATGGATGCTGAGATCAGAAGTGGAAGCCAGGTTCCTTGTCTGTAGTACATGTGGTGCCAGAACCACCCAGCAAACAACGTTAACTAATGCTTCCTCAAATATTATAGGCCAGTACTTGGTCCCAATTTGTGGGATCATGCTATGTCCACCCTGTTTGCTGTTTTTTGGCTATGACTGGGATACCGTTCAACCTGAGGTGGGGCAAAGAGTTGGCTGATTCCATCTGTGACCGAAAGTTGGCAGATCCCACTCTCCGAGACTAGTCTGCATGTATAAAATCAAATACATGTAAAACACAAATGATGGGCCAGTGCTAATTAGTACTGTGCATATATAAGCCCTAGCGGTTCATCCAACCACATGATCGAATATATATTATTGCATGTCTGTGCACCCCCAACACGAAGGAGAGACCGAAGTGCGGCAACACCCGGATGTGGATCCAGCGGTGAAGGACCGCAGCAGTCATGGGCACCATGCTGGGGAGACTGCAGTTGCATAATATTTTTGGTTATATATAGGTCAATGACCTGCAGTTGGTCATACAAAAGCACTACTCAGAGATCAGGCTTGCAGGGTTTGAATATTCATGACTGCCTGTTTCATCGCAGGAAGTCCTCCAATTCTTGGTGTTGGACGATTCATCAGTGGAGGATGGCACTTCTGTGGAGATGTGCAATTTGCTGAGCACATGTGAATCCTCATCTTCATCAAGTTCATCGGGGTCTAGTGATGATGGCAAGCGCATCTGGGCTTTTCGTAGAACGGATGGGATGTTGAGGGTCACCTGGTCCCACATGGCAGTACTGTGGGTTGTGTGGGTTTAACATGCTATGGCCTCACCCGTTATTTTTCCATCCCAGATCCTGCGTCCACCAGTGCCCATCGTCCAAGGTGCGAAGGTCATGTTTCCTTTGTCTTTTGTTCACCTCAGGCAAGAAAGGCAAAAAGGCAAAGGCATCGAAGAAAGAGAAGAAAGGAAAAGAAACTGCACCAAAGAAGAAAGAGAAAGATGCCAAGAACAAGGAAGAGAAGCCAGGTAAGGGAAAGAAGGAAAAGACGAAGGACAGACCCTTTTTGTAAAACTTGATCGTTCTCAGATGACCTTGTTAAACCTGCACTTCGGACTTGCAGGGTGTGTCCTCTGCTAGTGAGGTTGTAATCCCACTGTACTATATTTCTTTTCTGGATTAAGTTTTCCTGGGCAACTAGACTTGAAACAGTGGCCAGGGCCCAGAGGATCCAAAGCGCAAGAGGGAAGAAACTGCTGAAGAAAAGGCTGCACGTGAGAGAAAGGAAACCGATGAGAAAGCCAAAAAAACAAAAGTTGGCAAAAGCAAAGAAGGCCTCAAATGTTGTGTTGCTTATTTCAGGGCATGTTCATGATGTCAGAATGGTGGACTAACCCTTCCATCTGATCTACCCTCTACCTTTCTTTGGAGGCCATCGACAAAGCGTCAAACAAGTGCAAGGATTCCAACAGCCTGGAATCGCAGTGGCAGGGTGTGTATCTTGGCTGTTCAACCCGCTGGCCCACATGAACTCCCACATGATTAATGGACATGGGTCATCTTCTGGGTGGATTTTAGTCGCTTCATCGGCGATAAGTGTGTCCGTTTTTTTGATGGTTCTCGGCATGTTCAGAACGGAGCTTGACTGTTTGCAGTGTCTAGAGGGTCCAAGACTGAACAACAAAGCATCAATATCCCTTCTACTTAAAAATACTTGGACATTTGCTTGGATTTGTTGATGTCCTTTTGAACTTGTGAATCTCATGCGCATGAAGGGGGATTTGCTGCATATTCCTGCTCAGGGCCCTGATCCCAATCCCAATCCTTGGCTCCAAGGCCATCCAATGTCCGAGATGCGTTCATCAAGGACACGAAGCTGATTGCAGCTGACATCGCCTCGAAGCGCACAGCACTGCAAGCTGCTTTGGATGAGAACCAGGAGTGGTGTTCATAAAAAAGTATCTGTTCCCCCTTCCGTCCACCTCATTAAGCATTAATGTGGTCGTACTTGGTCCTGGTTCTTTGGAGTTTTCAGGGTCCTTAGACTTGTAGGGCCTGCGGCCTGTATGTGTCTGGGGGTAAGTTGCATGTGTGTCACCTATCTCCCCAGGATGACAGCAAGATTGACGACTTGGAGAAGGAGCTGTCGACTGCTTGCACATCCTATGATGACCTCAAGAAGAAGGTCAACCGAATGAAGTAGGTAGGTAGCGCATCTGATCCATGCTGCCCACCCACAGTTGCTGGTGATATGGATATCGATGGTTATGTATTCAACACATTTCAAGGTACAGGTGGTGGGCAGCTTGTTTGACTGACAGCTGACGTGGTGGGTTCAAATTACCACGTCTCAAAAGATCCACTGGGCCATGGCTGTGTTCCTTCCAGTAAAACATGTTCCGAAACCATTTCCAATTACCTCTGGATGGTACCAATTTTGAGGAGTACACCTGAGGCACCTTGTTCATGTTCTAGTTATTTCAAAAGTTGGGTCACAGTGGACCATCGCAGAGTACGGTGATCACATCACCATAGATAGATAGAGTACGGTGATCACATCACCATAGATAGATATCCTTGCAGCCAATGTGCATGAGTCACATGGGGCCACCCAAACCTGTTTAGAATACACCAATGTTACCAGGTGGCAGGAGGGCTGACTCAAATGCGAGCTGAATGCTGCAGGGCCACGTGTGTGGAGCAAGAGGACTCCAGGATCGCCATGCGGGAAACAAGTCGGCGGGTGCAGTTGGGAGGAAAGTGGATAAAACCAGGTGCATCTGTTTGGTGAACTGTTCAATCAGGGGGTCTCCCTTTCACATCATTTTTGATCATTACATCACTGGATGACCCAGTCCATTAATGAGGTCCTTGAGCTGTATCCCTTCCCCCTGACCTGACCTTGATCATCTGACCAAGATGATCAATATGGAATGTGTGTCTCACTGGCTTCTGTGCCAGGTGCCCAGAAGTCCAACCTCGTGGAGCGCTATTTGGAGAAGATTTGTGATGGAGAACCTTGCCAGAGTGGTTAAAGTCATGGACCTCCGACCACCACTAAATATGAGAATCTGTTCAGGTGACCGTTGACATTGGCTTGACTTCGTTCAGGGCCATTAGCTGGTACATGTGCACATTTTCTCAAAAAATATCCCACATGTGTTGGTGATTTTCATGAATGCTCAGGAGTCATCGATCGAGAATGCAATGGAGTCCCTCAATCTGGCTTCGCAGGACTTCTGGGTTGGGTGTGTTAGTGGTTTTTCTCAAGCTTTGGACAGGGTTCAGAGTAGATAGCACAATCCCCTATGTCCTAAGAAGGGGCCATTTATGCATAGTTCAGGGGATTGTGCCACCCACTCCATCCAACCCTGAGGGTGTAGCACCCTGCTATGAGGTAGGTACGGATCCACCAGATCCGGCTTGGTGAAACATACCGGCTTGACCGGCTAAAACAGCAAGCGGTCGAATTAGGGGTGGACGGGCCACTGTACTCCCATCCCATCCATTCCCCCACCGTCCAACCACCCACAGTGGTTCTCGGCCCTTGGTTTGGATATCCCTGTGACATGTGGTAACGTGAACCCACCATGTCAGCTGTCAGCCTACCAGGCTGCTCACCTGGAACTGTTTTTGAAACCACCTGGTGTGGATGGATCAGTTCAAGGGTGGATAGTGAGATCCATGGCCAGCTGCTTCGATGAGGATTCACATGGCCGATCCTCGAGATCGACTTCCGAGCTTGGATCCTATAGCTTTTGGAATCGCTCACGGGACTTCTGGAAGTGGGCACAACTTCCATGTGCTGCTTAGCTGGAAGTGGCAGGTCTAGGATCTCACTTGATCCGATTGATCAATCGGTACTGGAATCCAAACATCCATCTTTGGTGTAGCATTGCCATGTGCATTCACAGGGGATCAAAATATGAACCTTCCCCCATCCAATGGACCCACCTCCACCCACGTCGATCGAATCGAACGGACCAGGGGTTCACATTTGGGTCTAGAACCTGATTTTGGTTCACTTGGAAGTATGACCCCCACAAAGAAGCAAATTTTCTTTGGGTCTGTGAACCTCCTCCATCAAGCATGCACATGGAGCTCTAATATAGCTCAAAATATCTTGAACATTTTCATGAACCTGACTCCGATGGTTTCAGGCCTGGTTTCAAGGGTCATGGAAAGAGGATCAGGGTCCATGAGAAGCCTTTTCATATCTATTCCCAGGAAAAAAAAACTGCTCAGAGCTCATGACCCTTGACGTCGGCTCGACTTCGTTGTGCGACATCGGTTCGATTCGACCCGAATGGATCAGGGTTCATAATCTAGAACCTAGTACGTCCACTTGGAAGTGTGACACCCAAATTCTCGGGTCCGTCAACCCTCCATCAACCATGCACATGTGATCTGAGCTGTATAGCTCATGGACTTGAACATTTTCATGAACCTAACCCTCAGCTCAACCCATCGATCTCGACTCCGATGGTTTGATGACTGGTTTCAAGGGTCATGGAAAAAGGATCAGTGTCCATGAGAAGCCTTAAAAATGTTTCATGGCTTAATTGCGCTCAGAGCTCATGACCCTTGATGTCGGCTTGACTTCGGTACGTGACATCGGTTCGATTCGAACCAAATGGATCAGGGTTCACTATTTAACAAGATCTAGATCTAGAACCTGTTCTGGTCCACTTGGAAGTGTGATCCCCAAAGTTTTCTAGGGTCTGTTAACCCTCCATCAAGCATAAACATGTGATGACCCTCAGCTCGACCCATCGATGTCGACTCCGATGGTTTCACGACTGGTTTCAAGGGTCATGGAAAAAGGATCAGTGTCCATGAGACGCCTTAAAACATTCCCAAAAAAGCTAATTGTGCTCAGAGCTCATGACCCTTGACGTTGGCTCGAATTCGTTCCCTGACGTCGGTTCGAAGTCGGCTGTGAGTGGAGGGATTTAGGTTTCTAGGATCATGCCCAGATGTTTTCGAGGCATGATCCTTCAAGAAAATTCCACATGCCCCAACATGGATGTTTTTGAGGCATGAGCCTTCAAACTCCAAGTTTAGACAAGTGGTCCAGGTTTTCAATTTGAAGCAGGGATCTGAGGGTTTAAGGTTTAAATTTATGTTGATATCTCCTTAGAAGGGGTTGAGCCCTCTGTGACAAGGGTTTGTGACCTCAAAACCCTTGTTTTTTGAGGGTGCGGATACGTAGGGTGGATCATTTATCCTCTAAGGAGTTCTGGGTGCCCTCTCCAGCCCACTCCACCCCACCACCAAGCCCAGCCCTGCCTGGGAGTAGTCCCAAACCACCGACCGACTCCCGACAGACCCCCCCGACCCCGGATCGACTCTTCCGATCGACTCGAACCCAATCCGACCGAGTCCCGATCGATACCATGGTGTAATATGCATTTATGTAGGGCAGGTTTGCCCCTCTGTTCCCTTTTTTTGGGGCCTGGGCTCACTGAAAGTTGGTCCCTGTGGAGAAAGGGGGTCAGCAAAAATCGATACATGAAGTTAGTGCATCAAAAATACCTTCCACGAAGATCCACGAAGTTCCTCGAAGGTTTCTGGGATTTCGTTACAGTCAGTTCTCCTACTGGCCCACCATTCCATGAACTGTCCATGAACAGCCTTGGGTTCTACGAAGGTCACACGCCTTCCATGACGTTAGTAGAATAGGTTTTTCCAAAACCCTTTCTGTGCACTACCCTTCCGTTTGCCTTTGAGTTTATCTCCAGTGCAATGGCTAAAAGCCAATTATCGATTTAGGGCAGGTTTGCCCCTATAGGCCTAGGGCCTAGGGTGGCCAATAGATTTTTCTCATGACCCTCCACCCATCCCAATCGATCGTCGATGTCCGCACGAAGGGGTATGGGAAGACCTTTCACTGGGTCAAATAGTACAAAAACAGAGTGATAAGAGGTCCCATTCTAAAGACCCTCCACCCATCTGTCCTCGATGTCAGTGCCCAGGGATATGGATTCAGGTCTAATATACTGTAATTTTTAGGCCTGTGCTGAAGGTCAATGACCTCACCTTACTGGATATGTAAAATAAAATAGAATTCGAATGGGTCAGGGTCCATAATGACCACTATCATTGCCCTCCACCCATCCCAGTCGATCGTCGATGTCCGGACCGAGGGGTATATGGGTTCAGGGAGATTCTAGTCCCTAGACCTGTAGGGGAGAGTTGCCTCTGTATATGGCCAGGGTGCTTGGTCAATCTGGTCACTATTATGAGCTTTAATTTTTCTGGGTCTTTGGACATTTAATCATGGTCTATCATGACCACTATCATGACCCTCCGCCTCCACCCATCCCAGTCGATCGTTGATCGTCGATGTCCGAACCAAGGGGTATATGGGTTCAGGAGATTCTAGTCCCATGTTGGACAGGTATACGCTGTGATCCCATTCCCTGCAAGTCTGAAGTGCAGGTTTAACGAGGTCATCTGATAACGATCATGTTTTAATTTAGACAGACTGCATGGTCTATTTAAAGCCTAATTTTTCTGGGAAACCCCAACCCTGATCCCATTTTGTTGGTGTGATTGACCCCCAACCAGCGATTGTTGGTGTGATTGACCCCCAACCAGCGAGACCACCCCTCCTCCGATCCTCCAGCCACCCATCCCATTCGATCGATGGAGAGGAGAGGGGATCTTCAAGGTGTTGTGGTATATTAGCTAGCGCTAAAATTGTTATTTGGACAATTCTTCTGGAATAGAAGTTCTGTGGAGGGCTTCTGATATGGTTCCCTGAAGTTTTTGTGACATCCGTGACTCCCTGCCCCACCCTTCCAACCAACCAACGATCGATGCGATGGATCGACTCATGTCAGTTTTAGGTCTGACTTTAATTGAGGTCTTTATCGAGTTGAGTGGGG